TTCCCGCCTCGGGAGGAACGGAGGAGAAGGGAAAGTGCTGAGATCTGTTAACAGATTAGTTAATCTGTTAGTCGCTGTCGTGTAAAATATATTCCGTATACCCCGCCCACTATTATACCCCGCGGGGGGCATAGGTAAAAACGCACATTGCCCGTGGGTTATATGCGTGAAAATACGGTAGTTTAGCCTGAAACAAGACAGGGCCTTCTGAGGGCTAAATCTAACCCTCTCTTAAGTTAGTAAATCTATTTAGGTTAGAACCTACGAATGACACTCTTCCCCTTCCCCTGAATTCCACCCCCCTCCCCACTTTTGTTTTATATCTTGTTGTTCAACAAGCGACACAATTGACAACATGAAAGCACATGTAAATGCAAATATAGAGCTAATTTTAAAGGTCACCCAAAGTTTGCAAATAATGGTACTGAACTTTAACAAAACACACTGAGAATGCTGTACTTGTATAATACATTCAATGGATAAATTTTTTCCTCTGCTTTTCATATCCTTCCCCTTTGTGGTCAATCCTCAGTCAATATGCACTTAATAACATTGTGCTGAGGGAACACATGATGTATCTTCTGTCTCTTTTGGGAAGTGGATGATTCATAAAGTTAAGCTATTTACCGTCTCTGCTGCACAATTGTGTTGCTTCAGCGAATGGATACAATCTTTTCAAACTTAAAGATGGGTGTTCTTTTCCTAGAGAGGAGTTTTGTGAGATATTCCGTGCCAAAGAGAAATCGACAGGCAAGCTTTATACTTGCAAGAAGTTTCTGAAAAGAGATGGGCGCAAAGTGCGAAAGGCAGCCAAGAATGAGATCATCATCCTGAAGATGTGAGTGGAGAAGGTTGATTCCAAGCTACAAATGTTCAATTTAATTATTTTCATAAATGGAATGCAGCTACAGTTAACTGATAGTTAATCAGGAACAGTGATTGCATCTTTCTTCAGAGTTCAATTAAAGTGCCAGCCAAAACCTTATTAGCAGGATATATACTGTCCTATACTGTCAATTCCTATCCTGCCTCTATACATAGCCTCTCTCCTGCTCCTTCCCCCTTCCCCCCAGATGGTGGCACCCTGATTTTGGGTGCATGGCATGTTCACCATTGGTCAGAACCCTTGGCATTGCTATTCCTCCCCATTCTAAACATCACCATGAAGAAACATATTAACTTAAGCAGTATAAGAGAAATACTAGTTCACAATATGTAACATTTCAGAATAGATGTTGATGAACTGAAGATTTCAAAAAAAAATGCTAAGATAAGGGAAAAAATGCTTAAAAGCTAATACTATAAAACAGAATTAAAGGGAGCAACATGCTCCAGAAAGGATAAAATATAAATTATACTTTTCAGAAAGGGGAAGCAGTTTCTGCAAGGATCAGAGGGAGGCGGGAATGTCAGCCTGATGAAAGTAACATTGCAATATCACAACGCAATTCCCTTTCATTTTACGTATGATGAAAGCAACAGAATTCTACAGTATTCATTGTATCCATTAATAATGGAACAAGCTGCATGACTTCAGATATGGCAAAAACAGATTTAGGCAAGATATAACATCCTAATTAAAATGCAGTAAATGACTACAAGATGACTTGACAAATTTCTTGAGAAGACTGAGCAGATATCTCACTTGGGCTTTATGTTTCTGCCTGATAGCAGACCCTGAAACTAGCTTTTCTCTTTTCTTACAGGGTAAAGCACCCCAACATTCTACAGCTGGTGGATGTATATGTTACCCGGAAAGAGTATTTCCTCTTCTTGGAGCTGTAAGTTGGTGTTGCATGAATCTAAACTCTGTCAGGGTTCCAAGTAACACCCCCGACGAAAGAAGACTCCGATGCTTGAGTTTCCTCAAAGTTCCATTTTATTAGATGTCATATTGGCACATCTGGGAAAACCCGAATCTGAATGTTTTCAGGTTTTCCCCACCCAAAAGAAAGTTCAAGTCCCTTCCCAGCACCCACATGTCCCATCACATGATCCAATCAGGCACTATCCAAAACTGGAGATCCTGCCCAGTTATATCATCGCAGCTGCAAGGCAAGGTGTCCTTGGCTCTCTGAGAAAAGAACATTATTTTGACCATATATCTCCCATACTCCATATAACCCCCCCTCCCACTTTCCCACAGTAGAAACTGTGGCAGACCTGAAGGCCCAAGGTAAAAGATGGTTCCAGGTCTGACAAACTCCTAAAATGACCCATTGGGTTCTCTTCTCATGCTGCCAGGGCCATAGGATTATGATGCTAATCCTTGCCCTTCCCTCCCTCCCCATCCCAAAATACAGCATGGCACTTATCAGAAACTCCTTAAATGTTAATGACACCATCTAGAAGGGGAAGGGAAAGTTTCCTTCTCATTATATTATAATTTCTTTTTTCTGCAGGAAAAGGCCATCACTCAGTCTACTGTTTTGGTTTCTTCTGGGGAGAAAAAAAACCCTTTCTGATTTAATCTCTGGCATCTTTAAATAATGCTGGGAAAGATTCTATTGTGATGACAATTAACATGTACCAAATCAGATGGATTCAGACATTGTTCTGTTCTCTATTGTAAAGCTAATTTGTAGTAATGTGGAATGAGAATGCCAATTTTGGCTACATCCATTGTAGTTTGTAATACTAGTTGGCATTAACTAGTATTTTAGTTATCCAATTTCCCTGTTGCTTTTGTCTGTTGCCTTATTTATAGGGCCACTGGTCGAGAGGTATTTGATTGGATCTTGGACCAAGGGTACTACTCTGAGCGTGACACTAGTAATGTCATCAGGCAGGTCTTGGAGGCTGTGGCATACCTGCATTCACTGAAGATCGTACACAGGAATCTCAAGGCAAGTTGGATCATCTCCCTCTAGCCTGTATCTCTCGTTGGTGGTACATTCTTGGCCCATGTACTCTTCCTTCTGTTTATAAATTGCAATGCCTTCTCCCACCCACCCACCCAATTTTAGAAGGACATTGTATACATGATGCTATATATACTTACGGTAGTTGAAGGAATGGATAGAAACATCCATTTCAAATATCATGCCTTTTACTTTTCCCAGAAGCTTGAAGTGATTGTGTGGATGTATAAGCATGCGTGTAAACCAGGGGTCCACAAACTTGGCAACTTTTAAGACTTGTGGACTTCAACTCCCAGAATCCTCCAGCCACCTGGCTGGAGGATTCTGGGAGTTGAAGTTCACAAGTCTTAAAGTTGCCAAGTTTGGAGACATCTGATGTAAACATACAACTAGAAGGAAATAATGCTCCCATTCTGCAGTTCTTTCCTCTTGCCTTCATTCTGTCTTCCATGTGTTCATTCTCTTTTCAACTGTTTCTGCAGCTAGAAAATTTAGTATATTACAACCGCCTGAAGAATTCTAAGATTGTGATCAGTGACTTTCACCTAGCCAAGTTGGAGAATGGGCTCATCAAAGAACCTTGTGGAACTCCTGAATATCTAGGTAAGAAACGGCATAGGAATCAGCACATTACAATGAATAAACTATAGGAACAGAAAATAACCCTCCTGTATCTACTCATAGACTTATTTCCAACCAGATGCCTATAAAAAACTCATAAGCATAAAACTCCTTCCTGTTTTTGGTCTATAGCAATTTACCTTTACGTATTACCTTCTGCCTTGCTGCTTGACCATGAGTTCCCCGTTTTTTCCATAGATATTTTGTGCGGAGAGGGAAAACTGTAAGCTTTGATATTGTTGCCTGCCTGTGACAAGCACTTGTGGTCCATACAGATTCTTTCAGTGGGAATGCAGCCCATGACACAAAAATATTTCTCTAAATATGGTTGATTCAGTACAATTTTTCAGTTGACATTTTTCAACTTCCATATATTTCAAACCATTCCTCACAGAAAGTTACGCATATGCTATGATTCAATTATATACACTCTAAACTGGTAACTTGTAAGCTGTAAAAAACGGGAGAGAAGATTTGAGTGCAAATGACTCCTAACATGGATTTTAAATATTTCCAAAATGATTAACTGCTTAAGGACACTTAAAATGCCTCTAGGGAAGGTTTTAATGTACCTTCTTCATAATGCTCATTCTATAAATTCTCACAAAATAGTTTGCAAAAGAATTAAGAACAACGCCAAAGCATTCTGTATTTAGTTCTGCCAAGATACATTTCCTGAAATGTTGTCTACTGAAATTGTGATTGTAATGTGTAATGTGTTCAAAAAAACATGTGCCTGTCTTCTGAATAGTCTTCATCTTCTACAATTGTCCTTTCAGCGCCTGAAGTGGTGGGGCGCCAACGATATGGGCGGCCTGTGGACTGCTGGGCTATTGGTGTAATCATGTATATTCTGTAAGTAAAGAAGGATCATATTGATGATGGGGAGGAGAAGGAGGAAGGTGCAAACATAGAATGGACATCAGGAGAAAAATATAGTTGCAGAAAAAGCAGTAGAACATTCTTATGAAATAAGTTTGCTACAGCAGCTGAGCCTTCCCCAAATTTGCTGGGATTGCAGTTTTTAGAATTACTAATGAGTAGCTACTACAATGCTAGATTGACCATGCTGGCTGGGAATTTGAAGAGGAATATTTAGAATCTGAACTTCTTTTTCTACGCTATAGCCTGTCGGGAAACCCACCCTTCTATGAGGAAATGGATGAGGACGATTATGAGAATCATGACAAGAACCTATTTCGTAAGATCTTGGCTGGAGACTATGAATTTGATCCTCCTTATTGGGATGATATCTCACAGGCAGGTAAGGCTGTGAGAATGGTGGAAGCAAGTAAAAGAAGTTGCACACTGTAACCCAAAATGTTAAGGGTAAATTTCATTTCATTTCATTTTATTAAATTTGTATGCTGCCCTATTCCTGAGAGACTCAGGGCGGCTAACAATAAAAAGGGAGGGGATACAAAA